TGTGCGCGTGCGCAGGATTGGTGCCAGCTAGTGCACAGCCTAGTGGAGTCCGGTAGCAGCTGGAGTGCACATATTCAGGTGACTGTTGCACTTGCACGATACTATCATTTTATTTATTTATTTATTTATTTTTAATTTCGTAGCCTTATTATTATTATTATTATTATTATTTAAACATTTTATATTTATGCTTTATATATATTATTGATTTGATGAAAATTTCTTTCTATGCCTACACTCAAAAAAAAAAAAAAAAAAATAATTAATTACGAATTTTCCAAATTTTCCAATTTAAAAAAAAGTTTAAAATTTTATAAATTACTATTATTATTATTATTATTTTTTTTCCCCCAGGTAGTTTTTATTATAATTTATTAAATTAAATAATTTTTAATAAATAAATAAATTAATTATTTGTTGTAAGGAAAGCATGAAAAAGAATTTTCTTTTTTTTTTTTTTAAATATTTCAGGTACATTTGACCATTTATAAAATTAAACGTTTCCTTTCTTATTTTCATCATTATTATTATTATCATTTATTTATTTAAAAATATTTTATTGCATTAATTATTTATTTTGTTGTAAAACTTTTTAAATTGTTTTATTTTTTTTTATATATAAAAAAATTTTCATTTTGTTTTTAATATGATTGTTTGTTTATATTTGCTTGATTACATTTAAAAAAAAAAAAATTTATATATTTTAAATTATATTTATTATATATTATATATTTAATTATTTATATTTTAAAGTATTTAATAAAAGAAAAAGAAGCATGATGATGTTACTACACATTTTTAAAAATTAATTTCAATTAAAAAAATTTAAATTTTATAAACAATTGTTTCCAACACTTGTTGAATTTTAAATTATTATTATTATTATCAAATATCGAACTGTCTATATTCCATTTTTACAATTAAAAATTTTTTTTTTTTAATTAATTAAGAGATAGTAATCGATAAATAATATATATATATATATATATATATTAAAAATAATCATAATAAAATGCAAATCCAATATGGCGGAATTTTCCTCTTTTTTTTTTCTTTTTGTAAAATTTTAATTTTAATTTTTTAGATGGACAGCCCATCGTCTGCTTCTTTAACATACATTTCGACTCCGAATTCTACAACTACGACACAGGTACGCATTTATTTATTTTTATTAAATATTTTAATGTTTCCTTTTTTTTGTTTTATTAAAAAAATTTTTATTTTAGGGAATATCACCGGAAGATGGATTAAGTAGAGATTTGGGAACAGATGGTGGATTTTTTAATACATCTCTTCTCAACAACTTCAATTTACAGGTAGAAGTACAGGTGGAGGTGGAAGTGGAAGTGGAGGAGGAGGTGGTAATGGCGGTGGAGGAGGATCGACGCAGCAAACGACACCACAAACTCCCAATACACCTTCTAGTATTCCAGATATTATTTTAACCGGTAAGTTTTTTCCCCCCCACCCCAAATCACATTCGAATTTATTAAAAAAAAACAAAAATTTTTTTTAGATTTTTCATCGAGTACGACGGATGATTTGACAAAACCCAGTTTGGGTTCGACCATATCAAGTTCGTTTGATTCGGATTTATTCCCTTCGGATGAAACACTTCGAGCGGGATTGGGACCCATTGATTTTGACGGTTTTCAAATGCTTACTGATCCCGACATGAACGTTATTTCGGATCCGGGTGCCGAAGATCATTTTCGTTTAGATCGGTTAGATCGTTTGTAGTATTTGCTTTTATTCGACGAAGCTTTCGATAAGCTTCCGAAACATTAAACATTGACATTTCTTTTTTTTTTTTTTTTTTTTTTATTATGTGATTTGGCAATATTTCCGTTAAACTTAATTATTTTAAAAAACAAAAAAAAAATGACTCGGTTCGAGTTTTAATTTTGTGCGTGAAAGGTGTAGGAAAAAAATATTACAGTTTTTCAATAGAAACAAAAAAATGGCGCGTGGTGTTATTTGTTCCCGCGGTTTTTTTTTTTTTAAAACTCAAGAACGTTTTGAAAAATGTCTGCCTGAAATAATTATGCCCAACCGGGTTTAAACATTCCAGTAATTATTTTACATCAAAATGGGAAAATGCAGAAAACTCATTATTATACCCTTATTTTATCAAATTTAAAACAATTAAAGTACACATACATCCATACATAATAATAATAATTAAAAACTATTTTAAATTAATAATAATAATAATATAAAATTTATAAAAAGGTGAATAATTAATTAAAATTTAATTTAAATCTCATAAAATGTGCAATATGTCAACCCAAAAATTTAAATTTATATTTAAAATTTAAAATTTATCACGTAATAATAATAATAATAATAATAATAATAATAATAATAATAATGGTAGTAAAGAAAGGAAATGATTGGGTTGTTTAATGAAAAGACTTTTGCCTTCCTTAAAAGAAAATTTTTTTTTTTTTTTTTAGTTTCTGCCTTTATTGTGAAATTTAAAAAAAAAAAAAAAATTCTAAAATCAATTATTATTATTATTATTATTATTATTATTGTAATTTTTTATTAATTAAATTATAAACGGAAGGAGGTTAATTAAAAATTTTTATTTAACCATCAAAAAAAAATCTCCGGAAGGTTAAATTTTAAATTTTCTTTTTTTTTTTTTTTTTTTTTTTTTGCTGCTGCTCAATGTAAAATATTAATTGAAGCATTTAATAATAATAATAATAATAATAATAATAATGATAATGATAATGATAGGTAAAAATTTGTGAATAAGTTGCAATTTTTTTTTTTTTTTTTTTTTTTTACGACTTGCCGAATTAAATGGAATTTATTTTAAATCATCGCATAAAATATTTTTTTGAATGACAATTGTATCTTTGTTTAAAAAAAATTTTTGTTTTTGAAATGAATTACGAATGATTTAGCTCTCAATTTTTTTTTTTAATTGTAAAAAGAATCTCAATTTTTTAAAAAAAATAAATTATATAAAAAAAAAAAGAAAAGAGAGCGAAGCTAGTCAATATAAGATCTTCATATTAAAGTTTATATATATATAAATTAAAAATCATTTTATAATTATTTATTTAATAAAAAAAAAATATTGATGGGAAAATTAATAATAATAATAATAATAATAATAATAATAATGATGCATAAATGAAAATATTAATTAAGAGGTGGTGATACGAATGATTCCAGTCATTAAAACTAATTAAGACGCCATTTTTATTTTTTCCATGCGAGCTCACAGTCAAATAAATAAAAAAAAAAATGCCTTATTTAATTTTCATATACTTACAAAAAAGAAAAATGAGATGGAAAATTGTGTACAATCATTTCAATGAAAATTTTCTTTTTTTTTTTTTTTTTTCATTTAAATCCTGTCGGAAAATATTGTAAGTAATGTCACAAAAAAGAAAAAAAAGTTGTTACGTCACGATTAATATTAAAAATATCATTCGATCTCCGCGATTATATTAATAATAATAATATATTAATTAATTTATTTTAAAAGGGAATAATAGGGATAGTAGAACTTTCGTGCTTTATTTTATCTTATTAATTATTATTATTATTATTATTAATATAATAGTCATTTATGTAATAAATGAACGCACAATGTGTAGACTTTCTATATATTTGAAATACCCCTTTTAAATATATATATATATATATATATAGATTTGTAAAATTATTATTATTATTATTATTATTAAAATAAAAAAGGATAAATTTTTTTTTAGTCAATATATATATATATATATTATTTTTTTGTTATAATTATACTGAATTTTAATATGAATTAATTTATTAATTAATATTCATATAGAGATTGAATCATAAGTGATTGATTGAAATTAAACCAAAATAAATAAATAAATAAATTCTTTTTTTTTTTTTTTATTACTTTTTATAAATAAATAAATAAATTATATATGTAAATAAAATTATTCTAAAGGGTATGAAAAATGAATGATGATTATTATTATTATTTTCTATTTAAAAAAATTAAATAATTCGTTTTTTTTTTTTTATTCTGTTGCTCCTGTTGCTGTTGCTGCTGTTGCTCCGTTGCCATTTTTTTTTTTTAATATTTTATTTGCCATTTATGTTTTTATTAAAATTTTTTATCTTCTCTCTCTCTCTCTCTCTCACTTTTGTTGTTAAATTTTTTTATTATTAATTATAATAAATTTTATTTATTTTATGTTTTTATTTAATTTTTTTTTGTTTTTTTTTTTTTAGTCAATTAAATTAAATAAAAAATTTTAATTTTAATTATTTATATTACTCGCAACATTTTGTACTTAAAGGGAGGGAGAGGGAGAGAGGAGAGGAGGGGAGGGGGAAAT